GATACAGATTTATAGATAGACAGACAGATAGATAGATAGATAGATAGATAGATAGATAGATAGATAGATAGACAGACAGACAGACAGACAGATAGATAGATACAGATTTATAGATAGATAGATAGATACAGATTTATAGATAGACAGATAGATAGATAGATAGATAGATAGATAGATAGATAGATAGATAGATAGATAGAAATATAGATTAGAGGATAGATAGATAGATAGACAGACAGACAGCAGATAGATAGACAGATGAGTCTAGTGCTTTTCCCAACATATAGACTTTGCAACCATCATTCTAGATCTTCCAACGAGGAACATCTTCTCCCGACGCTCAATCTGATTTACTCAGCTGCAGCAACACCGTCCCAGATGAGATCTCAGCAAGGCTGGGGGAAGCTAATGTTTGCAGGGCTTGTAAAACATCTTCACAACACCCCCCCCACCCCCCAAAAAGTGGTATCAAGACTGAGGATCTTGATGATCCTCTGAGGATGGCACATCCTCAAATTGGGCATGGAGGACTGGCAGGCAGCCCCACCTTGCAAGGCTGGGAGTTGCTTAAGTCCCCCATTAATGGCTTGAATTAGTGGTTAAGGGAACAATGCAATCAGTAGGGAGGAATACAGAAGAATCAAGACCCCCATATTCTTTCTGCAGGTCTGGACTCACACTATGAGCCTTCTCCCTGAGGCTATGGGGCTCCCATCACCCCTTTCCCAAGGCTGAGACCAATGGGAATTGGAGTCTCCCAGTTGCTGGAAAACCGAACACACCAACACACCAAAAGCGTTGCGCGGTACAAATTCTACGCAACTTTTCCCTACGTTCCCAATTCCTTTTCTCGGCAGAAGGCCTCACTGGGGTCAAGTGCCCGCGTCCCCCCACCCTGAGCCTGCCCCCCAACTTGGGAAACGCTTACTTTCATTTGGAGGTCTTCTGCAACCAGGCTGAAATTCTTCAGCTCGAAGTCATTCGGCCAATCGTCATACGAGTACGGCCGGATGGAGAAGTCGCAGCTCGCCATCGGCAGGCGCAAAAGGTTGTATTCGATCCCTGCAGCACGCAGGCGATAGACAATCAAAAGAAGGAAAACGGGGCGTCTGACCATAACAACTTAGCTTATATGCGATCAGACCATTGTTTATTCGGCCATGCTGGGAAGCGACCCTGAGATTTCTGGTTTGCAAATTCTACTTTGCATCTTTACAGCACGCTCGCCAAAGGGCCGCGACACTGATTGGACTGGCCGGTTCCCGCGTTGCGCTGAGCCTGGGAGGATCTCTTGGCTTTAGTATCACTTGGGTTGTAAACTATGGCTTGCAGTTTTGCTGGTGCAAAGCCATCCCATTGCAGTTTACTCAAATCGACCCCGAAGAAGCAAGCCGCACAACGGGGCAAGAGAGTGACTTCAGATAACAGATCCGGCCATTTGAAACGGGACAGGTGGAGCTTCTCTCACTGTTGTGAAAAAGAGACACGCTACCCTCCACCCTTTTAAACTAAAAAAAAAAAAGAGAGAGAGAAAATGGATAGCAGCTTGAATTGCCTACTGAAAGGAATTCTCTATGTCACCACTTTAATCATATTTAATAAATGCCATTAATCTGTCCTCTTAAGTTCTTCTTCCTGTAATTAACTCTTTCCAGTTCGGGCTGTAAGGAAAAAAACTGGATCCTTTCATCATAAATAATCAGCATAAGGTAATTATCATATTTCTAACCCATCATTCCACTAAACAACTTGTTTTTCAGCCCTGTGGTCATGCTAAGAATCTGCATCTTCAGAAGCAAGCCTGTCCTTGTTTTTTTCCTCCTCCCTCTCTGTTTTTTTTCCTCTGTATCACGTTCTCAAATTGAAACTCCAAAGGTTAGGACAGTTCCATTAGTCCCATCTGCAAATTGTTCTGGGAACTAGGTTTGTTTTTCTGATTCAAACGTAGAGCAAAAGTGCACCTTAACTTCTGTCTGAACTCAATTCATTGCAGATCCCTTCCGCATCCCTCCTCAATCACTAAACCCTCTGCACTGGTGTTCACCTTCTTCCGAGAAGTAGGAACGGAGTAGATTTTTCTGGGCATTCGGCGTTAGAGACAGGATGTTTATGGAGGCTGCATCGGTGACGGACCCCCCAAATCCTTTTACTCTTTGATACCGCTGGACTGTCTCCAAAACCAGAAGAAAACCTAAGAATGGGAAGGATGGAAAGGAGAAAGGGAAGACCACAGGTAGAACATTACTACCACAAATGTGCAATGGAACGACTTCTCCTCTTCCTTCCCCAGCTGCCGGCCACTTTGGCTGGGAGTGCTGGAAACTATAGTCCTGACACATCCAGGCGAGAAATACCTGGAATCGATGTTTTGTTCTGGAAATACCCTTCGCTGCGCTCCAGCCGGTTCCCAGATTTGCTGCTCTCGTACATGACGAATTGGCCGAGGGGAGGGAGGGAGACAGGATCCTGGGTATCGCAGTACGTGCGGTTGCAAACACAGACAATAGCATCACGGCCAAAATACTTCCGATTACAAGGTTTGCTGCCTGAATGGGAGAAGGGGACAATCGATGTGAGAGAAGGATATTGTAATAGTATGTGGGAAAGACCTTGGAAGACGGGGGGAGAGTCGCAGCCAAGGGAATGGTCAGATAAGAGATGGCTTAGCCCACAGCTGCATAACGGATGGAGAAAGAAACTCAGAAGGGACCCTCCCTAATTTCTCGGGCTGTAAAGGAGATAGCAGGAGATTTGTACTTTCAGACTTCTGAGATTCTGTTAATGTAGCTTTAATAAAGTAGAATTAGTTTATCCAATCGTGTTTCCTGTCTGGTCTACCTGGGAAGGCTGACAGATATCCTCAGCCCCAGAGTTCAACATATCACTTATCGCCCTACAAAAATGGGGGAGAAATTTCTCAATCCCAGGATCTTTAGGGAAGCAGAGAAGGAAGATTTGCCAGTATGAAATTGGTCGTCCTTCTCATGTAAGCTGGCCAACTGTGATCAATTCTCCCCTGCTTCCCAAAATGACGGATCTCTTGTATTTGCTGCCAATCTGACTTTCTTGATTCTCCAAAATATCTGCAACAAAGTTTGCCATGCTGAGAAGGAGTCTCAAACAATCCCAGGCCAGCCTTTCAAACTTCTTATGTGCCAATAAGTCGTTTTCGACTCTTAGCACCCACAGAAATAGGTTCTCTCCCATCGTCAATCATTCTATATTTTCGATACTGCAGTGCTAAAGCCCATAGCCATTACAAGGGCGAGTTGCAAGGAATTGCACAGATTCTCAGAAACAGATTTTTTTAAAAAGCCAAAATAACTGGGCCTGGATTCTGATTCTTTACGATCACATCCAGCTAGTCAGAAGTGGCGTATTCGAGTCAGAGGTCACCAGATCCATTCTACATTCTTACAACGTCCCTCGTAAAAAAAAAAGCAGGAACTGCCAGTTTAAATGAAGGATCCACCTTTGCCCTGTGTTTACAAACAAGAACAGCCAGATGCCTACAAGAAACACCTCCTTCAACAGCCTCTAAACACTTCGGTTTTTTCAGAGGTAGACTGCCTTTACCCATGAAAACTCCACAGTCACAGAGATTTACAGCAAATTCATTCTCCAATTTTTTACCCAGCCAAAACAGCCAACAGGAAGTCCGACTGGAAGGAGTTGCGTGCTTGAGCAAGAGAATTCCCAAGGAAGATAAGGGTTCTTTCCCCCAAACTCACCCATTGCTCCCTTGGCCAGGCCCAGCAAGAACCCCAAAGCGAGAAGGTGGACCGTCACAAACGCCATAATCACCCCAATGCCCAACGCTGGGTTGCAAAATCAGGAAGTTGGGACCTCCAAGACCCCGGGTGGTTCTTCACAACTGCAAAGGCTCTGAAATGAGAACAGGACAATCCAAATTTCAATAGCAGCCTGCTCAAGTCAAGTAGCAAACTAACATGATTTGAAGGGAAGGTGGAGTCCACAGGCTTCATCTTCTAAGCCTTAAATGTTCACAAGGACAGTGACTGCAGCTCTGCAAACGAGAGACGTCTGCCAATCTGGGCGGGGGGGAATCAAGCAATTCTAAACATCACAATTTATTCTTTTTTATACCACGTGAATGCCCCTTCCAAAATTGTTTTTAAAAACAACTAAGCCGTTTTCCAACCAGGAAATTAACTAGCTGGTTAAGGGAGCCACCCAACTGGCAGGGAGAAATACAGAAGACTCAACACCCCCATATTCTTTCTGCATGTCTGGATTCGCACCATGAGCCTTTTCCCTGATGCTGTGGAGTTTCCATCGCCCCCAGCCTGAGTCGGCTGAGACCAATAGGAATTGGAGTCTCCCAGTTGCTGGAAAACTGAAGGTAGCAACACACCGAAAGAGTTGCTCAGTGTAAATTCCAGATCTGTTTCTTCCAACTGAAACCCCCTCCCCTTCCAAAAGGGATTAGCCTCAGAGATTAAGAAGAAAAGATTTGGTAAAATTTAAACCCAGGACATGACCCACCTGCCCAGTTCTCGCCGTCGATTTTAGCCGGTCTATCCTTCACTGTCTTCCTTTGACTCAAGTTCTCAAGGTCGTTCTAACCCTTGCAAAATTTTACCTCCAGACTGGCTTTTAATCAGATTTATGACACCTTTGACGGAAATCTGTCAGTCATATCCTTCCTTAGGTTCTGTGGGATTCCTGCCCACGCCTTGCCTATCTCAACATTTTAATTATCCTCATCACAAAAAAAGGGGCGGAGAGATAAAAAACCCAAATAGGATTAGAAGCAGGACTGAGATTCGTTCTCATGGATCTCCCAAAACTTTTCAGAAAAGTTAGCTGTCTCCATTGGGGCAGAAAAATCTTCTCTAGCTTCATCAAATACAAGAGCAGTTATGGGGAAAGGCTCACTTTTTCCCCTCCCCTTTAAAAAAAAAAAAAAAATAACAACAGTATCTGCCCTCTTAAATGAATTAAAGATGACTTGCAAAGAAAGCAATGATAACGAGGTTCAAATCAGTCAACAGAGTTTTTTTCACCTAGCTAGAATTAAAATGTATGTCTGTCTGTCTGTCTGCCTGCCTGCCTGCCTGCCTGCCTGCCTACCTACCTACCTACCTACCTTTGGGTTTTTTAGCCTAACCACAGGCATTAGAAATATAAAAATATTTCTCTTTTTAGTTCTAGAGACGTACCTTACACTGGTAATAATACTGACAATAATATTCTGCATTATTCCTTTAGCTTGTGTTTTATAACCAGCCCTCCTCTTCTTTCCCTTTTAAACTGTTCATTCATGGTTTCGTTCGATATTGGTCTTTGGACTGAAATACAGTTGATTCCAAAATATTTTGGAGTACAAAACGAGGCATTTCTGCCCCCTTTCTAGCAGGTGGGATCCCGTGGAAGCAAACGGACGGTGCAGGAGAAGACAGGTCTCCTCCCCGCCTACGCCTCGGTTTCCTTACCGTACGGCATGACTCACAGTCCTAAGCACGCCCGTTTTGCAAGAATCCATTGCTGTATTTTTCCCCCATTCTGCCATCCCGAAATAACTTTTTCCCGATTCTCCCATCCTGAAACAACTCTTTTCTCATTCTGCCATCCTGAAATAACGTTTTTTCCCCATTCTGCCATCCTAAGATACTTTTCCCCCATTGTGCCACCCTGAAATCACTTTTCCCCCATTGTGCCACCCTGAAATCACTTTTCCCCCATTGTGCCACCCTGAAATCACTTTTCCCCCATTGTG